GAAGGATCCCTCCCATCCATAGGGACCACATCAGTGGAGATTTAAGGACAGCCTGCTCAGCAGAGCATTTGGGGATGCAGCTAAAACCACCATCAGCCCCTTTCTGGGCTGCAGGGATTTCCATACAAGAGGCTGCTCTGCAGGGTTTTTTTTAGGCATTTTGTATCAAATGGGTGAAGGGCAGCTCACATGGTGCCCCCAGGTGTTGTGGACCATTTATTGTTTTATTTATTACATTTATACCCTGCCCTTCCTCCCAAAGAGTGCCAAACAGCTGTAGCTTCCAGTATCTCTGACTGCTGGCTTTGCTGTCTAGGGCTGATGAGTGTTGTGGTCCAAAACATCTAGAGGGTACCACATTGGTTATCCCTGGTGCACAGCTGAAAAGGAAAAAGTTTCCGATATCAAATGCTTTGGAATCATTTCCCCTCAGGCTCTACATCTGCTGTCTTGTGTGGGCTGAGAATTCATTGCCATCCTTTCCAGTCACCAGACCATTTTGCATTTCTCCTTTCCTGAGAGCAGCCCAGCCACTGCTGGCAAGAACTGCAATTCATCATAGTTGCAGCACTAGTTCAGTTGCCCTGCACTAGGCAGTCTGAATGCTCAGTGCTTCTGGAAAAAGCAAGGGTGCTCAGTTTTGCGCAGTGTTTTGGCAAAAGGTGGGTGGGATAAAGCTGACCTGAATGGATTTCCATCCTGCAATGGAGTCACCACCATGGCAGCTCCTGACCCTGACACTTCCTTACCTTTGCAGGTGACCTTCCGCAATGAAACGACTCAGGAGTTCCTGTTCTATTTGGTGACTTTTAAGGTCATCCCATGTGGCCCACTTGGCACCATTGAGCTGATGACCCCTGTGCGGCAGAGCACCTCATCTTCTGTGAAGGTTGAAAACCCTCTCCATGTCCCAGTGACCTTCAACACTGACTGCAAAGTGCCAGACATCAACATTCCCCCCCAGTTCATTGTCCCGGCTCAGTCGGAGGTATGAATTTGCCTTTGAAGTGGCCAAGAGCCTGGTCTTGCAACTGCCTCAGCCAGCAATGGCCAAGACGGCTCTGCTGTCATTCAGCAGTCAGCAGAACTACATCTGGGTGATTGTTTCCTTTCCCTAAAATGTTTTGGTTCCACTTTGTATGTAAATATAATAATATTATAATAATTATAATTATAATAGTAATTATGGATTTCCCACCTGCTGCAGTCTGGCCTGGAGCCTGGCTCAGACCTGACACAATCCCTGGGATAACTTTAGTCCTACCCTTAAGTTGCTGAAGGAAGCTGGCACAAATCTCTCACCCTCATACGTCCTTCACTGAGGAATCCAGGATTTCTTTCTCTTTTTCCATTTCTCTCCGGCTCCCTCACACACACCCTTTTTCCTCCCACTGTCTCCTTATGGCAGGCCTCTAAAAAACCCTTTCACCTTCCCTCCGGCGTTCTCCTGTGGAGATGCTCCCTCCTTCCCCATGTGTGCATTCTGCCTGCAGGAAGGACTGGTTGACTTTCTTTTCACATTTTGAAAGCAGCATGATAAGGAAGGGGAGGCAATTCCCGAGTTACTGTCAGAGGAAAACAAGCTCCTTACAGGAAGGGAAATGTCACTGCTGCTGCTGCTTCCAACACCTCCAAGGTGTGGAACGCCCTCCTGTCCCCTGCCCCTCCCAGAGTCATCAGGCAGCCAGGACCATTGGCATTGGTCTGGCTGTCACTGGATAGATTGTCAAGAGGGATTAACTAGCATTGTTCAACAGTCCATACTGTTCTGTAGAACAGAAAGTGACCCAGCCCAACTGAAAATGGGAATATTTTGGCCTCTAGAGATGTGATTTCTCTATTATCACCTTACTCTCCAAGGAGCCTAGGGTGGTATACATGGTTCTCACCCTCATTTAATCCCCACAATAGCTATTTGAGGTAGGTTAGACTGGGAGACTGTGAGTGGCCCAAGGCTACTCAGTGAGTTTCATGGCCAAGTGGGGAGACCTGCTCTCTCCCAGGTCCTAGTCTGACACTTTTAACCACTATGCCATACTAACTCTCTATGCCTGCCTATTCTCTTGCCTGTTCCTTGCCTGCCTTCCATGCTGCCCTCCCAGCCTGCCACCCTCATCAACTTGCCTGCTGCTCAACTGTCTCCAGGTTGACCCACTGGCTGTGGCGCCTCTGTCCCAACCCTGCTCTTGAACCTGCCAGAATTTGCCCCTTCTGCTCTTCCACATGCTCTCCCTTCTCTGCTGCTGCCCAGTGTTGACCATGGATGCTGAACAATCATTCTTGCAGAGAAAGGGAGTTGGGTGGAGCCAGTCAGTCAGTGACTGTCAAATCTCCCTCCACTTCTTGACCGGTTGCTTGTTCTGCCCCCTCCCCTCTTTTCTCAGGGGGTGCTTGTGTTTGAGTTCCAACCAATGAGGCCTGGAGAAGTTACTGGGCGCCTGTCCCTCTACAGCAATGAGCTGGGCTCCTTCCAGTACGACTTGATCCTGAAAGCCACCCCAGCCCGGCCAGAGAAAGCCCTCTCCTTCTGCGCCATGCTGGGCAGCAGCCAGATCGTCTTCGCCAAGTTTGTCAACTACACCCGTCAGAAGACAGAGTACACCACCAAGGTGATTCCTGTTGCTGTGATGCCACTTCTGGTCCAAGTTGACAGACACAGAGCTTTCACCCAGGGTAGCCTTTGCTTGTAGGCAAATCAACTTTCCCATCATCCTGCTCCACTAGCTTATGATACTGCCACACCTTTGTGGCATTGTAGCTCTTGCTACAGTCCCTGCAGAAGCAAAGTGCTTCCTCCCACCCCATCTTGACCACAGTGCCAACAAGCTTCTCTTCCCAACTAGCTGGAAAGCATGTGAACATCCCTCTGGAGCTGCTTTCTGCTGAGTCAGTCCTGTTAACATCTGCTTTTGCAGGCAGAGAAAGGTATTTCCCAGCCTGGGACTGAAGCAGGGACCATGTGCTTACTTTATGATGTTTATACTCTGCCTTCCTCCAAGCAGTTCAAGGTAGCATACACGGTTCTTTCCCATCCCATCACAACAATCCTACTTATGAGAGGTAGCGACAGTAGCTGAGTGGGGATTCCCACGTCTCTTTGACTCTTTGCAAAGCATTTGCTCTGCTGTCCTGAGCTGTGACCCTCCTGTTACGTGTGCCACCCACTCCCAGCAGACAATGGCAGGGATGGGGAAGGGCTGTTAAATTTATCTGGACTTTGGCTATGATGCAGCTGAAATCTGTGCTAGCTGGTTGTGGGTCCCTCTCCCTGCTCAACAGGTTTAACCCAGGCTGACCTGAGCAGTCAAATGGTTGTTTATGTGTGTGACTGGGGTGAGGTGAGGAGTTCTCCACGAGGAAACGTTGACTTTTCTTTGCAGAAGATGCAAGCAGTTCTATGAGTCTCCCCTTTGCTGCCAGGCAAATGAAAATTGCAGAGGAAGTGGAAAAAGTTTGAGGCAGCACGAAGGCAAGGGTGGATGTGACAATGCAGTGCAGTGCAAATTTGCAACTGAGAAAGCAAGAGGCCTCCTCACTCCATTTGAACATACCTTTTGGGTTCTGACAAATATAGCATCCTCCAGGATATTGTAGATAAAAATAGCTGCTGCCAGGCTCCAGATTATTTCCTTCTGTGCCCAAGTTGGGATTTTTCTCACAAGGAAGGATTCTGGGTAAAAGGAGATCTGCCTTACGATGCCTGTGTGAGAGGCTGCCAGGGTGAAATGCCTGTAGGTGCATGGGACCTACCCCCGCCTCTATGCCTCTCTCCCCTCTCCAGTGAGACTCCTTGTTTTCAGAACAAACCAGTACAATGGGTTGTGCTCTTCTGTCTGGGGTTGGTGGCTGATTGCTTCATTGCTCCAAAGGACAAAGGCATTACAGGAGGAGTTTTGCCAGGGAGAGGAAGCAGTAACTGAGCCTGAGCACAACAATAATGCAACCCAGTTTGTTTGTTCTGACCCTCTGGACAAGATGTGAGTCAGTAAGAAATGTTACGTTTGTCTGCTCTGTGGTACAACTGCAGCCACCAGACCAACCAGACTGTGATTTCTCTTTCCAGCTTGACTGCCCTGACTTCCACGTGGACAAAGTCATCAATGCACCTGCAGGATCTCTAGGAGGCACTGAGGTCAGCGTGGAAGTAATCTTTGAGCCTTGCCAGTTGGGTGAATGCAAGGGAACACTTGTCCTTTCCTCAACCATAGGAGGCGACTATGTCATCCCTCTCAGTGGCACATCAATCCCTCCTAAACCACAGGGGCCTATTCAGATCAGGGCTGGCACCAGCACAGCCATTCCCTTTAAGAATGTCTTCCTGCATCCCATGGCTTTCTCCTACATTGTGGAGAATTCTGCCTTCACTGTGAAGGCCACTGAGACTATTAAGGCTAAGAAATCAGCTACCATCCTAGTTTCCTTTGAAGGGAACCCAAGTGGCACCAAAGCCGCTGTCACCAGCAAGCTGGTTGTCTCTTGTCCTCGTGCAGCTGGGCTGGGCTCAGGAGTTTCCTGGGTTTATTATCTAAAGGGTATCACACCTGAGAAATGAAACTGTGGAGAGCCACTGTGTTGTCTTGTTTCATTTAAGCATTGCCATAAGGAGGGAGAGAGAGCTAGACAGTCAGCGCATGTCTTGCTTTTTGGTATTTGAGCCCCTGTGTCAAGCATCTTCCTTGCTTTTCTTAGGAGAAGGGAAAGTTGGCAATGCCTCTGTACCTTTTGGAAGGAGAGGGGAGGAAAGCCCTCTGTGATTGTCCTTGCGGCAGGCACGGAGGACAGCAGGGTGTGTTATACAGGGCTTCCACATGCGAGATTTCTGTCAGAACAAACCAAGTGTCTCCTTGTGTAAGGAGGGCAGCACACACCATACCAGGAATGTCCTTCTTCCCTTAATATTCCTCCAGTGTTCAATCTGCTGAATAAGTTAATGCAGCAGCATAAAACATCACCTGGAAATGTGCAAAATGAGCTTCCGCCTTATATTCATGATAAGAATGTCTTGTTACATAAGATTTTATTTTGGAATAAAGGTTATTAAACAAAACAAGAAAGTGCTTGAAAGTTTGTCAGGACAAGGCTGCGGGCAGGATTCTGGGATCTGGTTGGGAGAGAGCCAGACCAAAAGCTTAATGTCTGCTCAGGTTGCCTGGAAACAGATGATTTGGATGGCAATAATCAGCTGTCAGTTCCCTCCATGGTAGAAAGTGGGAGAGGCAGAACAACCATGACCTGACATCAGGGTTGTGCATAATGTCACATACCTGTCTGTAGACTCAGCTGTGCAAATGTGCAGGTTAGGCTGAGGGACAGCTGGCATCCTGAGAATCTGTTTCTGGAACTTCTGGCTGCAGAGAAATATATAAGGGCATGGGCAAAATACCCAGTGAAATATTTGACTCCAGAGGGGATAACAGGACTTCTCTTGGTGATAGTGATGGAGACCAGGGCCTCCTTGCTTATGACCCAGATGCTTTCCAACAAGGTGCTATTTGCCAGCATGCCTCTCTTCAGAACTGCCCTCCCCCAGTGTTCGCTCTGACAACATACTAGGGCCAACTAGAGAAAAGTGAGCCATTTCCACAAGTGGCTGATTCCTAATTAAGCAGCACAATCTCTGCCACTGCTCACAGTTGTCCTAGTGTCAGGCTTTCATTTAAATAAACAGGTAGAGGGGGTTGTGCTGCCAGTCTTTCAAATGAAACTTAGGGACATGGGGGATAAGTATGGTTTTGACTGTTTCTCACTCAACATGCCATCATTTAAGTTCCTTCAAATTGAAATGCTTTAAGCAGACTAATGTCAGCACTTTCCAGAAGTTGTTGGGACTCCCAAGTCTCCTCAGCTGGATGGCTGCAGGTTCGCCACCCGTCCTTTACAGCAATGCTCTGCAACAGCGGGTTGGGACAGCGGCATTATTTGCCAGAATTTTAAAGGGGTCCCCAAATGTCTGTTTGGACGAAAGGTGGGATTCGAGTGTCAAACGGTTGAAGGCAATTACTTTATAGAGTAGAGTGAGGAAAATGCTGGGTCTGCGAGACCCGCTGACATGAATGAAGGCGACTAACGTAAGCCATCCGTATCAGTGGGTCTATGAGCAGCACTGAGTTGGAGGCAGCCCAGAAAGGCAGGAAAGTGATTTATACCAGGTCAGGCCACCTGCGGGAGCTGCTGGCCCTTGGAGCCGGGCGATCCCGCTCCACCGCCTGAGGGGCGTCTGCCGATCCGGATGAGGCGTCGCTCGAAGGCGCAGGGCGAGAAGCCCCACCAAGCCTCCCCGACCTTCAAGGTGGACTGCGCCGCCCTGACTGCATCTTGATCGCTGGCGACGCGCGGGAGCCAGTTCGAGGACCGCATGAACGAAGAAAAGCGGCTAGGGGGAATTTGTCACGTGAGATCGCCGGGAAGGGGGGGGCAGCAGGAAGCACCTGATATCTCACGTGACTGGACCAAGATGGCCGCCGCCTGGTAGCCGGAGAGAGAGGAGGGAAGCGCCTCCTCCGCTACAGCAGCGCCAGTGCCTCCTCCCCGCCCACCTGCTCCTGCTCTCGGGAGCCGCTCGTCCCTTTCTCCCCTTCTTCCTTCCTTCCTTCCTTGAAGCCGGGGCAAGGCGGGACGACCGGCGCGATGAACCCGGAGAAGGACTTCTCTCCGCTGACGCCGAGCATCGTGCGGGCCTTGAACGACAAACTCTACGAGAAGCGGAAGGTGGCGGCGCTGGAAATCGAGAAGTGAGCGAGGGGAACGGGCTGCCTTCCATTCACGCTCTTGGGCCGCTGAGGGGGCCCTTCTCGCACCGCACTGGCAGCAGCAGCCGCATTAGTAATGCCCGGCAGGGTCTTTCCCCGCCCTGCCTTGAGGTGCCATTGGCGGGGCTTCAGCCTCTGAGCCAAAGCCCTTTCCTCAGCGCCCGCCTCCCCTTGCTGAAGGGCTGGCCCGTTGGCTGCTCCTGCTCATCCTGTCACCGAAGGGCCTCTTCTTTCTCTTGGAGCAGGCCTGAGCGGGGGCGGGAGTGCTGGTTTAGAGTGCGATCTACAAACAGCAGCTCTGAGGAAGTTGCACCTCTTCTCTCACTCCTGCATTTCTCCGCTCTCACCACATACCAGGCATAGAGATAAAGCCCTGAAATAGGTGACACAGAGGCAGGCTGCTGTTCATATGGTGGAGGGGCCTTATCCAGCCACAGAGAAGACCAAGCCTTTCTCCCTGCACGCACCTTGCAAAACTACTTGTCAGCTTGAGTGGGCAAAACTGGGCAAGGTGGACCAGTTTTCTGGCTCCATTTCATTTGTTCATAGATGATTCATTTGTGGGCATACAGGGTTGCTAATGGCCAGCTAAATTAAAAGAAATATATTTCTCATGTTAAACTGGAGCCAGACATGGACCTGGTGAGACAGGATACAGCCTTCTTATTCTCCTGTTTTTAGGCTGGTGCGTGAATTTGTGGCTCAGAACAGCACAGCTCAGATCAAGCATGTGATTCAGATTCTTTCTCAGGAGTTTGCACTTTCCCAGCACCCACATAGTCGAAAAGGGGGGCTTATTGGCCTGGCAGCCTGCTCCATTGCTCTTGGGAAGGTAGGTGGTATTGCTGTTTCTTTGACCCCATAGGAGGACATGAGCCCTTGTCCTCTGTTAGAAGAGAGAGAGGCTGTCTGTTCTAACCTCACATTTGTTCCAGAGGAGGAAGACATTCTGTGATGGGTGAGTTTGGAAATCTAAAACATGGATTCCAAATTAGTTACAAAATTATTTATCACAATCTCCAAAAATAAGCTTTATGAATAATTAAGCTCTAATGCTGATTTAGTGCAATGTTAAGAAATATCTCCTAGTAACATCTTCATATGTAGGGAAGCATTTAGTCAAGCTGTGTGCCAAGCTGCCTTTGACCAATTTCCTGCCATTTTCCCTGGCAAAATTTGGGCTTATTCACACATTATTTGGCTAATAAGGAACTCCAAGTTTTGAGCCACCTTTTCTTTATTTTGGCATTGTCGGAAGGGAACAGGTTCCCTTCCCTCCCATCAGCAGCCAGAAAAGGCAAGGGAGATGGGACTTCTTGTTAGCAGAGTGACAGCTCTTCCTACATTCCTGAAAAGAGGCTGAATTCTGGCCCATCTCCTCTCACTGTTTAAAATGGACTTTCTTGCCTTTGCTGCATAGTAAGGAGCTTTTGCTCTAGGTTTGGGGTGCCCATATTTTTTGGCTTTGAGGACACATTTTGAAACTTAAGAAACTGTTGTGGGACCAACAAATGTTCATTTCACAGAAGAATCCCCCCCCCGGCCCCCAATCCACATCCCAAAGACCAACACCAACCCAAAACAGGCAAAAAACAAAACAAAACAGGAAACCCCCCCCACAACAACTCGCTCCCATCTCATTTTTTAAAAATGGACAAGGGATGGAGACTTTAGCACCTGTGTGCCTGAGGAATCTATGTTGCCCACAAGCATGATGTTGCTGACTCCAGCTGTAGTCAGTGCCTGGGCATTCTGTTCTTAGCCAGGTTTGCTGGCCCTATTCTAAGCCCCCACCCCGGTGCACTTGGAAGAAAGCAGGGGCTCCACTCTGGTGTAGCCACTGCTTAAGTCCATGGCTCCGCCCCCCCGCCCCCCCTTATCCTTGTGTTTTGATTTGCAGGACTCTGGTCTGTACTTGAAGGAGCTCATTGAGCCTGTGCTGACATGCTTCAATGATGCTGACAGCCGCTTGCGGTACTACGCCTGTGAAGCCCTATACAACATCGTGAAGGTGGCCAGAGGCTCTGTCCTCCCCCACTTCAAAGTGCTGTTTGATGGCTTGAGCAAGGTAATGGGTTTTCTTGACAGGCCAAGAATGTCTCACACATGTAAGGTCTCTGATGTCCTGTATATTCCTGCTCTGGGGCTCTTTGGAGGTGTGGGTGCTGATTCTGGACAACTGGGGCTGAGAGATGGCACTGAGGATTTCCATAAGCATCCCCTAGAGGAAAATGTTCCTCCTACATTGATGCCTTCACTCCAGTTCACCCCCCTAATACTAACATGGCTGCAGAAGAGCTCTGGGAACCTGGCAGAGAGTCTGGTCCAGGGGTCCATGAATGTGCTTTCCAGATCGCTCATGGCAACCATAGCTCGGATGGTGGTGTGCACCTGTGGGTGGGGCTTGCCTCTGGCTTTGCACACTTTCTGGGCATTTCTGGAGCTCAGTTTATTGTCAGACAGGAGGTGGTGTCCCTGTCCGATTGCTGGGAGTCAATAAAGGTAAAGGTAAAGGTACCCCTGCCTGTACGGGCCAGTCTTGACAGACTCTAGGGTTGTGCGCCCATCTCACTTAAGAGGCCGAGGGCCAGCGCTGTCCGGAGACACTTCCGGGTCACGTGGCCAGCGTGACATCACTGCTCTGGCGAGCCAGAGCTGCACACGGAAACGCCGTTTACCTTCCCGCCAGTAAGCGGTCCCTATTTATCTACTTGCACCCGGGGGTGCTTTCGAATTGCTAGGTTGGCAGGCGCTGGGACCGAGCAATGGGAGTGCACCCCGCCGCGGGGATTCGAACCGCCGACCTTTCGATCGGCAAGCCCTAGGCGCTGAGGCTTTTACCCACAGCGCCACCCGCGTCCCGCTGGGAGTCAATAGCCAACAGAAAATAGTTGTCTCTTGGTCAAGTCACTACTAGTGTCTTATGCACATGGCTCAGCCACACCACATACTCTCTCTGTTTTTCCTAGCTTGCTGCAGATCCAGACCCAAATGTCAAAAGTGGATCTGAACTCCTGGACCGGCTTCTGAAGGTACAGTTCTTCCTGCTGACAGCAGCTCATGATGTGCCGGGGATAGGTTACAGATGGAGGGATGCATATTTCCTGCATTAGTCTTGGGGTGTTGAATAAGGCAAAGAACCTAGGAATTTGCTTGGCTGATTTCAGGTATCAAATTGTGGTATTTGTGATCTCATGTAGAATCCGCTATCCTGGTTTTCAAGTTTTAAATATAGAAAGGTGCTAAAAAAGTGAGAATGTTCTTCTGGGTGTGATACAAGTGATGAGTAATATGAAAGGTAATTTTGCAGAAAGTGGTGAGTTTGGGTGTCTGCCAGAGTCCCAGGCCAGGAGAGAGACCATGTTCTCAGCAGCCCTGCCATTCATGCTTTATATGAGGCACCTGAGAAGGCTGGAGACTGTGTTGGAACTAAGTAGCACTGGAATGTGGACCCAACTCCCACAGACAAACGCTTCTGTTAATTTTTCTAAGGGAATCAGAAATTTATGGGAGTTTGAAAGATGGGAAACTGAAAGCAGGTTCATAAAGCAAACTGAGCATGCATAATGCACCTCTGGCTGGATGCTCTAGCTACTGGCACTGGATCCTAGATTGCTAAGAAACAAGCCATCTTGTTCTAGAGGCAAGGCAGATGTTGCTGACCAGCCTTCTTCTTTAGAGATCAAAGGTCACCTTCCTTGTTCCCACTGTCCTCTGAGATTGGTTGTTCCCTGAAGAGCAAGCAGAATTACACGAAAGCGAGCTTCCTCTTCCAGAAGAAACAGAGTATCTGAGTTCCCTAGGAAAGGGGAAGAAAAAGCTATACAGTAAAACCTCTGAAGCAGCTTTGGCCTTTGCCTGGGCATCTGGCTGAGCCACCAGAGGACTTCTCAAGCACTCCAGAGAACAAAGAGCAGATATTTAAAATGGTGTGAGGCTTTGGTCATCTAGGACAGTGTTCCCCAACCTTGGGCCTCCAGCTGTTTTTGGACTACAACTCCCATCATCCCGCGCTAGCAAGACCAGTGGTCAAGGATGATGGGAATTGTAGTCCAAAAACAGCTGGAGGCCCAAGGTTGGGGAACACTGATCTAGGACAAGGGAAACAAACCAGGTTTTTAAAAAATAAAAGATTGTGAAGATTTGGTTCTTCACAACCTCTATAGAAAATGGACAGGGTGTGATTGTTCTCTGAAAGAAGGCATAGAGTCCAAAAAACTAGAAAATGAAAGAGGAACCAGCTCTTCCACAGAATCCCTGTTGGTCATAATACCAAACATGAAAACTAATTTAGCACGGAGGGCATTGCCCTCATGACCAGAACTCTGAGGATCAACTGGAAGTGGAGAAAGAAGTGGGGGGAGAGTGTTGTAATGAGCATGATTTCAACCACATTCACATCAACAGAGTAAAAACATATTTGGAACACAGTAAATTACCTGAAGTTCTAGGTTTACGAAGCCGCTGTGCCTTAGAAGGGTTCTGGTCATGGAGCCTCTGAGAGTGCAGCAACCAGGAACTTAATGCTGGTTTTAATAATTAAGCCCCAGGACCTGTGCCCCTGATACAAGTGTTGTTGACTGATCAAGAACACAACGTTACCAAGTGTGTTTGTGTGCATATGGATTCCTCTTTTGAAACCAGATGGGACTATGTTTAATTTAGTTGGCGATGTTTCACTTTTGTATACATATGGTGGCTGGAGATTTGCCAAGTAAGTTAACTGTAGTTG